TCACACACACACACACACACACACACACACACAAACACACACACACACACACACACACTCCCCCCACGCTTGTTTCGGTACCCACGTGTTGTTTGATATCTTCATTTATTCTTTTCTGTCTCTTCTCTAGATGTTTCTGCTAGTGATGTTTCTTCTTGTAACGTTTCTTCTAGCGCTCTTAAAAAAAATAAATTCTTCTCGAGATGTTTCTTCCGATAATGTTTCCTTCTTCTTGTCGTTTTTCTTACCTCATCTACAGGCATGGTACTGAACCAAGTCTCGCCAGAGCCGAAGAACTTGAGAAAGCCAGTGAAGAAGACGAGGGTCAGCAGATTTGGGGGTGTCAGCCTGACAGGAGAAACAAGAGTTTAGAGGTTAACCCTATCCGTACGTCGTACTTTACTATCGTATCCATACGACGTGGGGAACTCTGTGCCACCACTTTCCAAAGAGGAAATTTACTCGTTAATCCGATTCGTGCGCTTTGCATAGCAGTCTGTCAAAAATGATTTTTTGGGAAAAATACTGAACGTTTCAAAGAGATCTTCGTACTAGTAGTATTCTAACATGTGAAAAATACAATCCCGGAGGTACAAAATGACCCCAGAACGTATGGATAGGGTTAAATTAATGTTAGAGATCCTAAGGTCAGGGGTGAGGGTGAAGGTTGGAGTAATGAAAGGATTTTTGTTTTATCAGAGTTAACTTCCACCGCCACCTGCCCTTTACACACGGACACAAAAAAAAAAAAACAACAAAGAAACAAATGATCAAGGAGCAAAACTTGTTTTACAAAAGTAAGCAGAAAACAATAATAACAACCTCTAACCTGAAAAAAGAAACAAAAACACTTGAATAAAATTAAATATTATGTAGATATGTAGACTACAAAAAAACCCAATAACAAATAGAAAAGGACCCCCACAAAAATAAGGACAAACAAAATTAAAAAAAAAAAAAACTGAGAAAAACAAAACAAACAAAAACTAAGCGAAAACAAATTACAAAACAGAAAAATGGTGGAAAAAAAAACAGACAAAAAAAAAAAGAAAAGAAAAAAAGAATGCAGAAAAGTATAAATTACACAAACAGGTACACACGTTCTGTCCAACGAAAAAATTGTAATAACTATCACAACTAAATGCTTCAACCCATCCCAAACCCAG